GTCTGCCTCCCCCTCCGTCCGTTCTCCATGCAGGCATGGCTCCTTCCCTGCCCTACTTGGCGCAGAAGCAGCAGCCAAGGTTTCCACCCATCAAAAGCACCTCCAGAGTTATTCCGGAGCTGGGGGAGACTTTCGCTGCTGCCTCTGTCCCAGGCCGGCCGGGACGGATCCCAGACGCCCGTACGGAAGAGTTCAGGGTGGGGCAGCTAATAAGATCAGGTAGGAGGAAATGCCCCCTTCCCAGGTCCCCCCCCCTGCCCCAGACTGGGGTTAGCGTGGCTGGGAGTCAGGCGCCTGCTGCTGTCTCTGTTTGTTTTGCAGTGAGGAGAAGGTTCAGGCCTGGGAGCCGCTGCATCCCGGGAGGGACTGGAGCCCAGACAAAGGTCTCTCACCCCAGAGGTACTGGGACAGGGGGAAGGACAAAGACCCCCATAGGGAGGCAAAGAGTGGAAAGGCTAAGAGTTCAGGTAGGTGGAAATGCCAATTGAGTGCCCTATATTATATTATAGGATTGCTCCCTTCCCATGTCTCCCACCCTCCTGCCCCAGACTGGTGCTAGCATGGCTGGGAGCCAGGCACTTGCTGGTTGCTCCATTTTCTTTGCAGGAAGGGAACCTTTCCCCAATGTGTACATTGCTCTGGCTAAATCCCTGGAGAGACGTGACGACCCTCAGGTACTGGGGCAGAAGGAAGGAAGGGGTCCTTCTGAAATATGTTTGGGGAATTGTAGGAACATTGTCCCCTGTGGCTGTTGCCAAAGCCACCCTTATAAAAAGAACAGGTAAGAGGAAGGAAAGATTTCCATGGGGCTGGGAGAACACCCTACAAGTTGAGTGTCAACAGAGAATAGGAGAAGAACCTTTCTGCTCTCATGCTCTCGTCCGGAAGTGGGTTTGCCAAGCTTTCTTTGGGAATAATGTCAGGGCAGGGGCATTGGGCATCCATTCCCCACGTCTGCCAGGAGGATACCAAGTCCTTCTTCCTCCACAGGGCCACGCTTCCAGAGAATGGTCTCCGTCGCCAGCACACAAGGTGATGGACACAGAGCGAGACTCCGTCTTCCGTGCTGTTCCAGTCTTGCTTTTCTGGATTGTAAAGTCCTTCCAAATCGCTGGAGGAATCCATGCTGCTTGGTGCCTTGCAAGTTTTCTGGGATGTTCCGGTTGCTGTCTGAATGTGCCCTTCACTGAAAGAGAACGGCATGACTGGCACATGTTAAAATTAAATAAAGAAGTCAGAGCAACTGGTTGCTTTCAATATGCCAATGATCAAATAATATTCCGTAACAAACAGTATCAAAAAAGGGGGGGGAGAGGAGCTGTTTTCTTTCCTCCCCCCTTCTCTGGCTGCTACTGGGAGCTCTGCTTAAGAAGGCTGGAGCCAGCTGGTTCTCATCAGCACTTTCTCCTTGGAGTCCTTGAAGCTGCAGGAAAAGTCACTCCCCCTTCTCCCCCTTCAGGCTGCTGTTCAGCAGGTGAAGCTGATTCCTGCCCCATGACACTATCCCCCTCCCCAAGGTGTGCCTCCACCTGCTGGGTGGGTGCTGGCTTTTAGGGAGCACAATGGTGGAAGTGTTGGATCAACCGGACATTGGGGGAGCATGGACATGCAAGGCATCTTCCCCTGAGGATTTTTCATGAAGGCCATGAAATTGGCCGTAGAACCCAAATCTATCATCTTCTTCTCTGGCGATCACACGTAGCCGAGTAAGATTGTCTTCCATGAACACGATCTAAACAGTGAGTCCATAATGGACTGTGGAGGCCAATTCTGGATCCACACGTCCTTCCACAGTGGGGACATAGATTTCCGGGCGGGAGTTGATCACGGTGAGGGTTTGCCAAGCATGCTTTCCACTTAACTTGTTTCTCCCTTTTGCCCTGAGTTCGAGTGTCTTCAAAGTCCATGACACCATTGGTAAAGGCTATTCTCTAACTGGAGAGCTCGCACGCCAGTGTTTCCCAGTTGTTTAAACTACATTTCTTTTAGATTTGCCTTGAGAGAGTCTTTAAACTTCTTTCGTTGAGCACCAGCATTACATTTCTAAATTGCTTGGGAAGATGATAATCAGGCATAGCCCAGGTCTGTAAGGCTGTTTTCCAGGTTCTTGGAGAGGGTGGTGTGAGGCATCTGGGCATTAGGAATACAAGCCAAGCCTGGCTCTGTGGCCCTCCTAAATTGAGGTTATTCTATTCCTGGGCAGCTGGCAGAGCCCCTCTTCACTGGGCATGGGACTGCCACATTCCCCGGCCTCCATGGGAGACTCACAGTGCCACTCTGTGCCTCTGTTCCTTTTTGGCCACCGTCAAACAACTCTCATACTGATCCTAAGCTGAAGAGCTGCCCAGCCAGCTGACCTCCCCCCTCCAGAGCCCACCGCTCTCAACCGACTCTCAACTGCCTCCCCCCCCAACATTCAAATTCCCTTTCCAAGCCTCCTCCAATCGTCACTCTCCCCCAGAATTCCACTCTCTCTCTTCCCCCCTCCCTCCCTGCTTGACATTCCCCTGGGAATTCTAATAGAATTACCTTAGTTACAATATTATGCGCAATATTGTTATAGATTGAGGGGGGATCCCACTAAAGCCTTCTCTGTCAAGTCATCCTGTTAGAAGCACTTGAGCTTCCCATTTCTGGATCCTATGAAATGGGGGGAAGTGAGCTGTAGGTTCTGCTCCATGTTCTAAAAAGCAGGTGTCATCCCCTAAATGATCCTGGTAATTGTAGTTTTCAGGGGTTCTGGGAATTGTAGTTCAGTGAGAGGAAAGTTGCAATGCTCAGATTCATTAGGGGGACATCATGTGCTTTAAATTCTCATTGGATGCACTTTAAATCATAGGGTCAAAGAATTGTGGAGTTGGGAGGGACCCGAGGGTCATCTAGACCAACCCCCTGCAATGCAGGAATCTCAGCTAAATCATCCATGGCAGATGGCCATCCCACCTCTGCTCAAAAACCTCCAAGGAAAGGGAGTCTACTGCCTCCTGAGGGTTTCCTTCCCACTGTCAAACAGCTCTTCCTGTCAGAAAATTCCTCCTGAAGTTGAGTCGGAATCTCCTTACTTGTAACTTGAACCCATGGCTTCAGGTCCTGAGGGCCTCTGGAGCAGAAGAAAACAAGCTTCCTCCCTCCTCCCTGTGACGGCCCTTGAGATATTGAGAGAGCTGCATGGTGTGGCTCTCATATCCATGTCCTGAGGGACAGAGAGCAAAACATTTCTCTCTGTCCTTTCTCCACCCTAAGCAGAATTGCAAGGGGTCAGTGCATCTGGCTGGTAAGGAGATGGTCAGAGTTTGGAGCCCAGCCAGGGCTGGCAGTGGGCAGGATCCTGGCATTGTTTGGGGTTGGACTATATGAACATTGGGATCCTTCCAACTCTACCATCAAGCAGCCAAAGGAGGGGGCAGGGGAGCAACATGCAGAACCAAAATGGTCAAAGGCCTGGAAACGATGCCTTATGAGGAACGGCTAAGGGAGCTGGGCATGTTTAGCCTGGAGAAGAGGAGGTTAAGGGGTGATATGATAGCCATGTTCAAATATATAAAAGGATGTCACATAGAGGAGGGAGAAAGCTTGTTTTCTGCTGCTCCAGAGAAGCGGACACGGAGCCATGGATCCAAACTACAAGAAAGAAGATTCCACCTAAACATTAGGAAGAACTTCCTGACAGTAAGTGCTGTTCGACAGTGGAATTTGCTGCCAAGGAGTGTGGTGGAGTCTCCTTCTTTGGAGGTCTTTAAGCAGAGGCTTGACAACCATATGTCAGGAGTGCTCTGATGGTGTTTCCTGCTTGGCAGGGGGTTGGACTCGATGGCCCTTGTGGTCTCTTCCAACTCTATGATTCTAACCAGGGGAGGCACAACGACACACTCCAATAGCACCCTCTGGCCTGACCCACGGAGGCCTCAACCCAGCACACTTTGACCCCCCTCCCCCCG